CTGTGACCAGCAGAACTGGTCTGACTTTTTTTTTTTTTGTAAATTTTAACATTCGAGTTTTCTTACCTGCTTGTTTTTTCTCTCCAGTGAAAAAACAAGTCCTCTTCAAAGAGAAGAAAAAAATCCGCTCCATCTGAACAGTGACTTCTAAATGGACTTGATTTATTCACAAGGAGGACTATGTGGAGGAGGGGGGGGGGCATTGCTAATTCAGAAATCCTGCAGCCTGTGCTAAAAAAGAGAGGAAGTGGACTGGGACTGCCATCTCCTGTGATTTGAAGGCCATTGTGAATAAGAACAATGTAGACAGACAACATTCCTAGTGTCTACGTAGATCATCACATCAACATTTATTTATCTTTTGAGTTATTTTTATAGTCCTTGATTATAAAAGAGAAAAAGACAAAAATTAAATAGATTCCATTGTCTGTGTTTTCCATTGTGAAACTGTCTACAATCAGCAAAGAAACAACCATCAACTTTTGATTGCCATATGAAACATTTTCCACAGTGGGACCTCTGTGTAAGGGTTGCCAGAGATGTTATAATCCACCTTCCATGGACAGAAAAGTAATGGGTTGTCATTAAAGGTGGTGGGGGCAGAGTACTGGTTCTTGCCTAGATAAGGCAGGAACAAGAGCTACTTGGAGAAGCAAAAGGACCTTTAGAATGCTTTTTCACTTATGAATTTATGTCTGAAAAGTCAGAGGGTAAATTTCTAACTGGCTTCCTGCCTAGTCTTGTTTTTTGACTTGCTGGTTCACTTGGATTTCTGGCCAAAAAAACCAGACTAGGCATCTTGTCCCCTTTAAAAATGTTTGTTTCTGGTGGAACGCTGAGTGATTTTTAGCCCGTGGGAGGGAAGGCTTTCTCAAAACCTTCCTAGAAACAAAGAACCTCAGCTAGTGGACAAAGCGTGGAACCCACTGCAGGCATTTGGCAGAAAAGCACTGTCAGCATACACTACATGGCTTAGCATGCAACACTTTGTTGCATACTGAGTGGAATATGGAAGAGCTGACACTGCTTATGGGAATGTGTGGTCTCCAGATGGTCAATGAGGTACAGTGGCGTTCCTTCTAGGCTACGGCACTTGCAGCTGATGGCAGGAACAAGGATTTTTTGTGGAAACTCATGATTATTGTGTGAACTTTGCATTCTAATGGTCTTGCCAGCTGGAAGTGCTGAAGCTTCAATAATATAAACTTAGTTACTGGAGAGCATAGAGAAGCTATGGAAGACACCATAGAATTTAAGAGCTTAAGGACTTCACTTACCCTTACTGACATCTCTAGTATTTGGTACTGTTCTGCACGATGGCAACTACTCATGGGAGCGTGCAGACGGTACTAGGGATAGAGCTGTGATTGTCTGAAAGACTTGGTCCCTAGTGGGACTAACAAAATATTTGATTGAGAAGGGAATAAACTTTTCTGCTCCCCTCCTTTACAGTTGGACATTTTCAGGAAAAGCAGTTTGCCAGTGTACAGTCTTGAAAATCAGCTTGCCTGGGTTGAGGGAAAATTACAATCTGAATTTGACAGCACAAATTTAGAAAAGATCCTGTGGCAAATCTTTCCTGTAGGGATAGGAAGATTGTGTCCCCGGTGCTTGGACGCTCACTGATGCAATGAAGTTGGACTTCCTAATCATTTCTTCCATGGATAGATTGGGATAGTAAGCCAGGTAGAAAGCCAGTGCTCCCACAAAGCTATCGCCAGCTCCCTAGAATAAAACCACACACAGAATTAGGCATGTTCCTACAGAACAAATGTTCAGATATGCTTACTGGAAATGCAAAAAAAAAAAAAAATGCCTTTCAGTGAAACTGAGAACTGGGGTAGGTAGGGAAATGCTAGTGTGGCTAGCTGGAATGGGCTTTGTTTCTTTTTTCACTTGTAACTTCTATGAAATACCACAAGATAAGATTGCTACCTCTCATCCCACTCCCCTTATAACATATGAGGGTAAACAGTATAACGTGGCATTTACTTGATAAGGGGAAAACAGGAATATAAATACCAGTGCACTGTGGTTGGCTGAGAATGTTGGTAACAGCTTTGCTTTTGAAACTTCCTCTCATTTGAGTGCCTGATTTTGATTTCTCAACCTTTAGTGTTTCATTAATGTTATTTTTTCTACTTTAACTTCTGTTTTTTCATAAAGGGCAGTGGTATAAAGAAGGGAGGGAAGGGGAAGACTTGAGCTATGTGGCTTGTAAATTCCTAGTTGCAGAATGATGCAGAATCCAGCCATCCTTTCCCGTGAGGTTTTCATAACTGAAGCTCCACACTGCATGCACTGCTTATGTTGCTGTAACCCCTGGGGTAAGCTTGGTTGTGGTAGCTCATAAAGGGATGAGTGTCTTCTAACTAAGCCCTGATTTACCAGCTATCTACATGGAAGGAAAAAGTGTTAGTTTTGAGTAGCTTCTAAGCCAGCTGAGCTCCACAAAGGGACTCTTGCTACCTGTGTCCTCCCCAGAAGCCACCAGTTTTGCCGTGAACAGCAGGGAGCACTGACCTTGCCAGTGCTTCTGGTATTATTGTTTTGCTAACTGCAGAATCCATAATGTTATGAACTATACTATGGTTGAATTAAAAATGAATTTGAGTTTTAACATAGGACAGTGCATCTGTCTTTATCCCTGCCTTGATGACTAATGCCAGATCTAGACAACCCCATGCTGGGATGGTAATGACAAAAAGAAATCATACTTCCAACTAACACTTTTACAACTGCAAAAGCCCTCAAATAGATGCTGGCAAAAATGCTCTCCAGCTTGTACAGTTTACGTTATTTAAGCAAGTGGTGCAAACTCTGTGCACTTGGGAAGGATTTCCCACACACCTTTCCAAGCATAGACTTGACCTAAGCTTCAGTGACCTCTGAGACAAGGGCATGTTTCTGGCCTAAACACAACTTCTGATTAACTGGAAATTGGGGATGGGAAAAAACATCATTTTCTTTTCTCTTGTGCTCTGATGGTTGCCATTATTTTCCTTCACATTACAAGAGGAAAAAGAAATCACCCTTGAGACCAACTGTAATGATACCAGACTCAGAGAAGTTTGCTGGTAAAACCATAGCTGAGAAGGGAGGGTAGCATGGCTGTTGGAAATCAACCCCCCAACACAGCAGCCCTGGGAAATGAACTTTGGCAGTCCCACATATTCTCCTAGTCAGCAGCAGCTGTTTCAGGAAGGCACCTTTCCTTAATGCATGCCCTGGTCTGAACCTGAATCTTGGCTGCTTCGCTCCTGCCTTGCTTTCAGTGCCTCTAATTCAGCACAATGCAAAAGCACAATGCAGCCAATTGCAAGCCAGTAACAAAAGTTACACTTTATAAGGTAACGATAGCACCACCTGTGTCAACCGTCTGTCTAAACATAAAGCTGTCAGATTACAGTTTTAGGGCTTTCTGTTCTGCCTTTTTGTCTCTGCTCTGGTTTCTATAGTGCTACTGCAATGGCAGGTGGAGCTGAAGCAAGTGACGATGGTTAAGCACTGCCAGTTGCTTTTGTCCTGTACCAAATGCAAACTGTAGATCAGCGTTTCCTAACTGGTGTGCCGTCAGACATTACTGGGTGTGCCATGGAATCTGGGGGGGCATGGCTCCAGGCAGTGCCGCCACTGCAGCCTTGTGTCACCAGTGTGCCCCAGCCGGCCCGACACTGCCACTGTCCCCCTCCCACTCCCAGTTCCACATCTGGCTGGTGTGCCGTGGGATGAAAAATGTTGGGAAACGCTGCTATAGACGATCTTGGGCTCCTCTTAGATTATAAAATATTATCTATGAAAGTATTAACGAGCAAATTGAAACAATTTTCCAACTACTGTTATATACAGAAGAGGCAAAACATGAACAGAAAGATCCATCTCTGCTGCTCAGGCTGCAATGCTAAGAATAGAAAACAGTTGTTTTTAAATCAAGTTGTCATTCTTACAGTGATTGCTTGGGTAATGCAACACGCCAATTAAGCATTTTAATGAAGAGCGCTCAAAACAAGCAATATCTAACTGCCCATTTCACATATGGCAGTGTTAGAGGATTATCTGCTGGAGAAGATTCTTCAATGTCAAGGTTGTCACTAATTTTTTAAATATAACCTACAACGGTTATGTCATTGATTACTCCTGAACCAAAGGACAATTAGTTCTAGCAGCTGGAGAAGCCAGTTCTCTCAAAGTCACTGTGCATTTCCAGTTATGGGATGGTGGCCTAATGTCCCTGGGGTCTGTGAAGCCTCTTTGCAGACACCTTGTTTCTGGAGGATGCAAGGGTCCCCCTTACTGATGTGGAATGACAGATGAAAAGAAAAGCTAAGTGTAGACTATTATGCCAACTGGATACAGGAAGGTTTTCCAATGTTCTTTACAGAAGAGAAGGCAGCAAAATGGTTGGACAATGCACTCCCTTCCAGAAGCTCAGGTGATCAACATCCCTTGGGAGCATAATGGAGCTTCTCTAACTACTCTCTCAGGAAGGGTTCCTGGTGCTTAAAGCGCCAAAGGGCAGTGTCCCATCACTGAACTCAGAGAAGCAGCTCCCAAAGATCAGCAGTTATGGGGAAGTAAACTTGATCTGTGTAGGACGCTTTCAAACTGGGAGCAACCACACAGGTCTTGGAAACATTTGGTATGCAGGCTGTTCCAATCTGTCTCCAGGGACAGTGCAGGAAGGTAGCTGTAGCTGTATGGACAAGTGGTCAAAATTCATTTCCAAGTCAGGAAGGGAACCAATTCAATTTAAACAGTAACTGCAATAAAAATATTTTTTTGCTTAAAGAAACCTATTTATCCAACACTTCCCTGAATGCACTCTGTCCAGTGTGTTGTGACCGAAGCCTACACAATAGTATTATTTGGTCTAGAGAACTAGAGAGATAATGGGACCCAGAGGGACTATACCTCATCTACCTGGTTTAAAACAAAATTGAGATTACTCAAGATCCAGGCTAACAAGTGGTTAATTCTATACCTTTCAGAATCTACTATAAGCAAATACAAAATGTGCTCCTCATAAATGTTGGGTTTTGAGCGGACCATTAAGGTATGCAGCATTCTACCTCCCATTCTCGTCTAAGAAAAATATGGACTTATAATATAGTAGTAATAATTTGCACTGTATAGCTCTCTTTTTCCAAGAACTGCAAAGCACTTTGCAAATGTTAGCACATTAATCCTCCCACCAATAGTTTATTCCTCTACCTTTCCCTGAAACGTCCAGTGCTGGTCACTGTAAAATGAAATTCTGGCATAGGTAGGTATAACAATTGCTATGTTAGAACAGTGATTGTTAGTTCTATGGCTTTGCACTGGTTTTATTTATAACCTATTTCTTTGCTGTCATTCTGGATGCTCCATGTTTTCCTGGTACTTCCTTTTGTTTCTGTAAAAGAGCATTTTTATTTATGGCAGCCCAAAATGGCTCAAGATTCTGTATGTCTGGGGGAGGGAAAACCCACAGAATTTTCCGCTATTTATACCTTAGCATTTGTAAGCCCTGATTAGTCAGTGGTTGGTTCACAACACTAGTATAACTATTTTTATACAATGCCCTGGGAAGCTTTTTAAGGAAAGTGCTTTGTAAGTGGAAACTATATTGTTGAGCAGTTTATTTCCTTGCAAGTAGAGCATTTTTCAATCCATAATGCTTGGAACAATGGGATGCTTTTCATCTGTACAATAAGATGATTTTTGGTGTTTTACTGAGTTTCTTGCCATAATGATGATAATATAATTTGCAGTCCCAGAACAGTTGTACTTGGTACTCCCAAGGTGACCTCCACTGACCCCTTTTTTCCCCCAGAGTGATTTCCTCTTATGGAAAAGTCATTGTAACGAGACAAAAGGAAAACCTGAATTCAGTAGCCTGAAGTCCTAGTCAAAACTTTCTGAACAGCACTTCTCTAGTGATCCCATAGAGGTCACAATTTGTGTTCTTCCAATGTACAGCACTGATTCAATTTAAGATGTAGTATAAGAATGCGATGAGAATCTAAACAGAATGGTACATTTTTACAGCAGCGTGGTAGTAGCACCAGGCTCAGGCCTGTACTGCACATTATTGAGTTAGCCAGTAAATGAGGACAATAGAAATGTCAAGGGAAAATGTATCACAGCCTGGATTTGGTATATTTTTTGGAAAAGCACCATTTAAATAATTTATTACATGACTCTCCAGTCTGATAGGACATGCAGAGAAGTCTATTTTACAGAAGTAACAAAGGCTGAGGTTTACATTTCAATTCTGCACTGGCTAAAATATAGATGCATAAACCTAAGGAAGGAATTGTGCCTCAGAAGAGGCCCAAATTTTCCTCCTCTCTAGTAGGAATGTGCTACTAGTCTGTACAAGTAAGCTATTATCCCCGCCAGCTGAGCTCTGCAGAGGGAGGCACTGGAAGAGAAATCAGGTTCCACCCACTTCACACCCTCTCTTAGGGGAGAGAGTTGCCAGTGTACAGCCCCCACTCAGCCCTGCGTACCAGTACCACATACTCCAGTAGGGTGCACAGAAGTGTATAGAGAACTATCTTGCTCCTTACACAACTGCCCAGACACACCAACTGAGCTGCAGTTTGGCCCTTACTAGGAAGAAACGTTCTACAGCAACACTTGCTGAGTCTGCTCAGAAGTTGGAAAAGCCTGTGGTTTTGTGCAAGAGTTATGGGGCGTGAGCATTAGTGCAGTTAGCCAGGGTCCACATGCTCAGGAGAGCT